TCATGCATGTTGGTGTTTGCAGGTCGTGGGGAGTGGAATGCTCGTGCAGCCAAAGCGATGATAAAAAGTCGAAGAGCCCGTGATGCGCAGTTAGGGGCGCCGTTGCCGGAATCGTCGGGTTCGTCGCCGCTGCACAATGTCTCTGGCAGCTCCGATGAGAAATCCATGCAACAGCAGCATATCAATGGTAAGTGTCATCCGTTGTTCCATTTCTGTGCCCTGTTGTCGGTCTTACGGTGGTGAAGCGATTCGCTGGGACTGCAGTGCGATCGAACATGGCTTAAACAATTCAGTGAAGGCAGGTGCTTCGGCTCACCTCATTTGGTTGGAGTTTTCTTTGTCACCATTTAATCCGAATAGAGTTTTTTTTTTTCGAGAAGTTATGTATTTGTTAGGTGCTATGGCACTACAGCAAGATCATTTGAGGTGCACTGTCTCCGCTGCACACTCGACGCGGACCACATGGCACTGGCGCATCCACAGCGCCCGATTTTGCGGAGTTCGATTATCGTCGTGAGTGCCCTCGTTTGGTGGCTGTGGCGGAGGAGGAGAAGTTCGATGATATTGTTGCAGCTTTTGCTGACTTGGTACTTCCTTTTGCAAATGTTTTACTGCTGGTGCTCGGAGCTGAGTAACCTTTCCTTCATTAAAGCCCTGTTATGCTCGGAGTGGCACTGTTTGCTGGGCTGGGCGTATTCACGGCCAAAATGGATTGGTGAAATACCAATGTTTCAGTCCGCTTACTTGGGTAGCAAAACTGTGGTGTTTAGAATGTCGGAGGCCAGCGTGCTTCGTGCCTGCTTCAGAATCAAATATCGAAAGAGGTGCCGTTGTCAGCATGGACGGTTTTCGACATGCTACTACTGATATCACATTTTCGTACGGCGCATTGGAGGGGAAGAAGCTGTTTGCATTTGGGGTGATCAGCGAGAATTTTTGCTTCAGGCATCTCGAAATTTTGAGCGAATGTTTTTTTTTTTTGTGCAACTGAGACAGTTTTGACGAGGGATGTGCACTGTGTAATTTGGAGTATTTCAGGATAAATTACAGGAGGAATTAGAACACATTTTAATACATACAACAGATCATCAAAAGAAAATTTGCGGAGAGATTACATTTATCAACACGGGGGATTACCCTGCGAATGATATATCAAGACGACCGATGCCTGTATACGAGCTGAATGCCTTGGAGCCGATTCCAGGCTGCAGCACAACTTCCAATAAGTTTGTGCTTTTTAAATGGTTACCTTTTTAGCTGATTGCTGGATGGACTTTTCAACAGTTGTTAAAAAAGTAATTTCTCCCAAACACTTACCACTGTCACTATTTTCAGGACAGCAGAAAACCCCTATGGGGAAATGGATTCGCCCGATGATAACTTTGACGTCTGGCCGCCCGTTAATTTACCCCGAAAATTCTGGGTATTTGTGCGTGAATATCTCGATCCCATAGATGAGGAATATTTACAGCTGTGGTGGTCAGACATTGTGCAACTGTTTTATGCTGATGACGATGATGGTCGCGATTTACCTCCCAGGCTTTTCCCAAGTATTTGATTTTATTCGTGTTTGCAGTCGGAAATTATGCCTTTCTCCGACACTTCGCAAGACAGACATTTTCCATATTAAGATGGCTTAGACTCTGTGATCAAGTGTAGTTGAGAAACAGTTACACGCCGAGCACAGCCATGACAAGCCTGCTTTTCCAGAAATTTACAACATTTATACACTGCAGCATTAGGAATCGTTGAGTGATTGTCCTTTTTTTTTGCGAACACCTTGGTTACACAGTCTCCATTTGTTTTCGTCTGGGCGAGCAGTCATGTTTCTCTTTGTCTTATCGTTTGACCAGAACATTAAATAAACTTTGGATCTTGCATGATAGTTTAAGCATTCTTCTCGTCATAGCTTTCCTCACGGCTTCCATCATTGACCACGTTCCCCTTATCGCTTTTTTGAGTTGGACTTTTCTGTTTGATGTTTTGGTGATGCTGGAATTTCGCGAAATTTTCCCCCTGTCGATAGTTGTTCGGCAGGAGGTGT